ATCTTAAAATCTAGATGATACACAGTGCAAGGAAATCGGGATCTTGGTTCAGAATGATGACCAGCTGCAGGCTTTGTGGGTTGGCTTGTTTTTAAGCCCCATAACACCAGCCCAATCTTATTAATTAAATAACTTACACTGAGAAGTTAAGTCCTCTTTTAGTGGTTCTTGGTAAAATATTACACGCTAAGCCCTTCAGTGCAGTTGCCGTGTACTGCTGACATTATCATACTGAAAATAGCTGTATCTGGGGCCTGTACTGAGTGGGTATATAGCTAGGGTTATAGAACTGGTTGTCCTCTGTAATCCCCATCAGAGGGAGCAGATCTCAAGCAACTTTTCTGGTGTCTGTAATAATCTTTAGGAATGTGGGTGCCTGGTATTTCTGCTGTTCTGAAAAACATTGTAGACAAAAATGCAAGGAGACTATTGAGTCATTGTACTGCAGTGAAAGGACTCTAAGGGAGAGATAGACTCTGGGGGTTTTATTTAATTTTCCAACATAAATGCTGATGCATGTTGTTCAGCTAATTCTGACATATCTGTATCCTATTTTGCAGAAAGCAGAAGGGAGAAGACAACATTTCATTGTTGGTCTGAACTTTTTTGTGTCTTATATTAAAAAACTGAATTTGGAAACTCTCTCGATAATGTGGGCATATCAGTGCACTGATCCTTTATCGTTGTAAGCCAAAAAGCCTATTCTGGTTAGGCTGGGAAAGAATCCTCACATGAAGAGAGACAGCAAAATGCAATACATGACTACTACATCGCTTTTTAAAGATTTGATTAATAAATAGCCTTTTGGAAAAGGGAATGGGTACAAAGCACGTGTTAGGAATGAAAAACATTGTCATGAGAAATTTTGCTGCAATAGAAGACCCGATTAAGATCGCTGGCAGTGTTCTAGGGGTCGGATCTCTCTTCTTGCCTTACGAAATAAGCAGAAAATCCTCTGTTCCCAGTTTTCACAAATAACTTGTAGACAGTGATTAGCCCAGTGTAATGGGTGTTACTGTTCTTGTGACTACTTGGTGGGACCTCCTGAAGTAGATACATACCGGTTGGTGAAAGGAAGTGATTTTTCACTCTGCCAGAGGACTGAGCATCCTGTTCCAGAAAAGATCCCTGGTGTCCCAGGCTGCTAGAGGTCCCTGTCCTCACAGAACAAAGCCATCCCTTAAACAAATACAAGCTAGGTATTTGGCATATGCCTTTATCAGAAGCCCTAGACTAGTAGTGCTGTGCAGCCCACAAGAGGGCTTTCTGCGTGGATTAGCAGACTGCTGTTCATCACCATGATCATAGCTTCCCTGACCCAAGAACACACACGTGTACACATGCAGAAAAGTCTTCTGTGTTTGGATGGAATATACCTAGGTGACGGCAAAAATTCCCAACTCCTGGCTGTATGTTTAATTAGTCTTAAAATACCTGTAATTATGCTGAAGAATATACTCTTAACAAAATGGACTGGATTTGTAACGTATTTGAGACTGCTGGAGGTGGGATGTAGTTTAGAAAGCATGGCAAGAGTCAAAACAGAATCGCTTATTACCTCTCTTAGGGCACACTTCTTCATGGGTTTGAATACGTCAAGTCCCCATTTGAAAAATGGGGTTTGGGCGGAGATTTGATTTAGGGATTCCTGGGTCCTCTTGTGCGTCTTTGCTTGTTAAACTAAGAGGATCATTTAAATCTATCTTTGCCTTTCTAATCCTGTTGGAGGGGGAAGTGGCAACACGAAGTCCCTCTGGTGTGCTGTTAGTGCCTTGGCTGCCAACACAGAACCAGCTGTTCTTCTTTAAAATCGTTTTCTGTTAGCATTTTGTTGTCTCTTCTCAAGATGTTTAGCCTCTTGCAAGGAGGCAGTATGTGCTGAGAACAGTTGATGCAAAGCCCAGAGCAGAATAAGCCATCCAGTTACTTGATGTCAGGAGTTTCACACTGCCGCCTCCATCCATCTCAGCAGTTTTGTTTTGGCTTATGTGTATTGTGCTTAGTGGAGTGCGGGTTTCAAGTCCCATGTCTTAGTTTATTAAGTGCAGCTACTAAGTTTCCCGTATGTGCTGCTTTTATCAATGTGAATCATAAAGGAAGTGGTCTCAGGGTGCAGCAGATGAGCTACATGTTGCTGGTGATGTGTAGGCACAAAGCCAGGGTGTCTGGTACTGTAAGTTCAGTCCCACTTATGGAGATCTTCTGTTTCTTTTAAGTTACTTTGTTAGTTAAAGGACTTAGGTGATTTAAACCTGAATCCTCTAACTGCAAAATCGCTCCATGTCTGTTATGTTCTCTTCCTGTAGTTATGTAATTTTCTCTTCTTCTCTCTCTGGATCTCCGTGGCTAATTGTTCTTTTGTCTTGGATTTTTGTTCATACAGTCCGTTTCTGAAGTTTTTTTACTTCAAGCTTGCTGTGTACAGGAATTTCAATGTGTGTGTGTAGCTCAGTAAATGCAGCTACATGAGTTACAGATGTCCAAAGATGATGTGTGCCATGATGAGGCTGCTTAGTGCTGCAGCTGCCTTAGGCTTCGGTCTTTCTGACTTGTCTGAAGCTGATTGGGTGTGCACACTCATGTTTAATAGATAGCATTAAATTCCCTCTGTGTGCCACGAGAATGGGTAAATGCTAACTGTGTTCCTGGCTCCTTCACCTGGGCTGTTGGCAGCCGTTTCCTTTCAGGGAAGGGGAATGTGAGATCAGCTCGCATGACCCACTTCAGAACAACAAAGATGAGGCCTGGAGACAGCCTCCCTAATGTTTGCTGCTTTTTTCAGCCTTTCCACAGCAGTGTTTTTTTCCTTTTGCTGCGGATGCTCAGCACTTGTCCTCTTTCATTTCCTTCTAGACTAAAGTTGCCTGTTCTGCATCTTGACAAGGCAGACTTACTTTACAAACCACATTTGGTTTTTGTACTATTTACGAAACTTTATTCTTAATATACCTCAGCAAGTTTACCCAAACACACAGTGAAATCGAAAGAGAAGAAAGCTGTAAACCAAGATGTGGGTCTCAGTCCGTGACAAAGATCTTCTGACTCATTCATCCAACTGTTAATATGGCTTAAAAAAAGCCTGAAGTGGCAGTCCTGAGTCAGAGTACAGCTGCACTTAAAATGCACATGATTAGTTTGAATCTTGACCCTTAGACTCTGGATGCATGCAATACAACTAATGCAGTTTGTTTTGATATTAACTATTAAGCATGTTTGTTGGATTTTTTTTTTCTTATGATAATCTTCAGTTACACAGTAAGCAAGGCTTGTCATTTGCATAGGGTTTGGAACAGCCTTCAGCATTTGCTAATTACTGTGGCAAGAATAAACTTTCAGAAATGGCTTTAGTCTCTTCCCCACACTCCCATATATACTGAAAGCATGCAACACTGCTAGAACTTAAAAAAAAAAAAAAATTCTGCTCGAAAACTGATCAGCTATGTTGTCTAACATGAAATTGATGTAAATACTGATTTATGAAAGAAAAGATTTGTGTACCTTTTCTGTCCATTTTTTCTAATACAGTTCAGTGCTGTCTGGAAGACACTTATACACCTGTGGGCTCTTCCACCCCTTTTCATGCTCAAAGTATTCTAATATTGCATAAGCTCTGTGAATCAGTGTGCCTTACAACACATTGAACTTTGTGTGGGATAATGGGGTTTTGTTAAATGGCTCCTCCTCCTAGGCCTAATGCAGGGATCTCTGTGGAGCCTGGCAGTTCTGCAGGAAGGCTTGTGGCATGGGCATTCACTTTCACAAGTGTGAACCTGCCCAAACTGCTCCTGTCACCTGAAGATAGAAGCGTGCTAGATAATCTTGTAAAGTTAGTTTTAGATTAAATTTACATTTGTTTCTTACTAGACTGCACTTACTCAAACAGTGGCATACACTGACTCCAAATGTGGGCTTCTAGTGATCTGGCTAAGCTGAACCCATGCATGAAACGGGCCAGCCAGGTGATGGCCCGCATTCAGTGGGATGATGCATCTCCTGGTCGAAGTCTCCATTGAGTAATAATAACCAGTGCTGTCTAGGAAAGTGGGTGGCAGTTAAGCACTTGTCATAATGCAGAGCTGTAAGTTTTCCTGTGTCTTATTGAGCATGTTAGTCTAGACCCTGTTTGGCAATTCTGTGTTTGTTCCTCTATAATTACTGTAATTGTAGATGAAACTAATGAGTGAGCTTGCAGGATGTGGGTCCAGATACATCTTGCATTCTCAAGAACTGAGGCTCAGCATCTGTTGCATGATGATATGATTTCAACTGCTACACTGAATTGTGTATATAAATGCCTATTTTCCTTCTGCAGAGGGTGCTATTTGTAATGGAAGTAAAAACCATATACTTGGGTAGAGGGTGTGGTTTCATGCAATGGCCGTGCTGGTCTAATAGCTGCTGCTGCTACACAAGTACATGTGCTTTGCACTGTTGCTTTTCTGAGCTGTTAAAGGGAACTAGCTTGGCAGAAGGTTTATTAATGTTTTTTAATTTGTACAGAATTAGTCTTCTGTCAGCCTGACTCGCTGAATCAGTTTGTGGAGTGTTGAGTGCCTGAGCATGTGGGTGGGAGTAGGATTGCCCTTTACTCAACTACAGCTCCTGGCTATCTGATAGTTGAGCTGTAAAATGAAACCCTGAGACAGACAAACTAAAACCAAGGTCAGCCTTCGTCTATTAAGAGCTCCATCAAAACACAATTGTTCTTACATAGAAAGGTGCTGCTGGGTTCTGCTTTTCTCAAGTGCTTGTCCAAAACGCTCTTGGGGTGGAGCACGGCAATAGGTTTCCCCCGCTTCTCCCAAGTGTTTTCAAACTTGAGTGGAGAAGAATTTCATGAAATACAAGTCCCAAGTGTGTGTTTCTCCCTAAATGTTGATGACCCTGTGTGCATGAGAAGTGCTGACCTCAGTCTGCAAAGTGCATGGATCTGTTATGCCTTGAATATCACCTTGCCTCCCTTCCTTCCCTGCTAACGATGCTGTCTGCCCATGCAGTTCCTGAGGGTGACGAAGCAGTACCTCCCTCACGTGGCCCGCCTGTGCCTGATCAGCACCTTCCTGGAGGATGGCATCCGCATGTGGTTCCAGTGGAGTGAGCAGAGGGATTACATTGATGGCACGTGGAACTGTGGCTATTTCCTGGCCTCCATCTTTGTATTCATAAATCTCTTCGGACAGCTCAGTAAGTGGCTCTAAGGCTGTTTAGGTGGATGCCAGAGCACTCCAGTGTGTCTGCCACCCTGGCTCATGTAAGCACTGTGAATCATGTAAGCATGGGACGCCTCACTGATTTCTTAATAGCCATTGACAGCGTAGGACTTATAGTACTACATGGGCTGAATGGAAGGAACTCTTAACTGACCTGCTCCAGCCTTTCCTGGCAGCAGTCTTCGAGAATTTTTTGACACACTATCTCTGAGTCAGAGATGCCAGGAGTTCATTAGGAGAATCTGTTTTCAGTTCTGTACGTGCATCTGTAAACACATAACCCACAGTCCCTGGATTCTCTAAATGAAATACTTATGTTTTCTTAAACAGGGCAGTGTTAAGACTTTCTCAGCCTGCTGTTTTTATGGGTATTAACCCATAAACCCCTTATCCTGCAGTTGGTACACTTAAGCCTGAGAGAGACGCTTGTGTCGGAGATTTTCAGAGCGCAGGAATCAAAATAGGCCCAGAAGCAGAGCTTCTCTGCATGTGCTAGGTGGACTTAGGGTATCAGAAATGGAGAGAAGTAAAATTCTTTTCTGTTTATATTAATGTCCCTGATCTGCTGTTCTTGATTGCTCTGCCAGTTTCTTGTCTTGTGTCTGGGTTTAGATTTTTACTCTCATTTTTGTGTAGAGAGTCCGTTTAATTTAATGTAGTTACCAGTCCTTGTGGCGAAGGCTGTCAGTGCTTTGTGACAGAAGACTTGAGGAAGGGTATAAAACAAAAGCTTTCATGGAAAAAGAGTGCAGCATGTTTGCCCTAACAGTTATCTGATTAAAAAGAAAATTCATGAGGAGTTGAGTTTCTTTTTAACTTCTTTTAATGCCTTAACACTGATAGCTGCCGTACAGTGCTGTGTGTTGGGGACTGCATTCAGCATGTGCTTACCCTTTGTAAAATAAAAGATACTTCTGGAATGATAAAATACTTTAAAATGCACTAAAACTTCTTGGTCTCAAAGTGATTTGTGCCAACATGCTGTTAAAATTTCCTGCCTGATGTTCTCTGTGGAACAGTTGAAAGAAATACAGTCTGCTCAGTTAAAAAAAATTCCTGCAGCATCTTTTTCTGTGCAAGCCAGAAGTGTAACTGTGTTCACTTTCCCCAACTCAGGCGGCTGTATCCTGGTGCTGAGTAGGAACTTTGTGCAATATGCCTGCTTTGGACTGTTTGGAATTATAGCATTACAGGTAGGAGGCTTAAGTCTTCAGCCCTTCTAAATGGTATCTTTCACATCTTCTCTCTTAGCCCCTGTACTACCAACATATCTAAACACAACTCGCAACCCTGGAATTTTCCTCCGCCCTGGCCTAGTGCCAGTCCTCAAAGGCATTGAACTATTTTGCTGCTTCTGTTCTGCTGACATCCCGTATAGATCCTTGGCTGTAATTGCAATTAGTCAGCTGCAGATGCTGATTCAATACTTGACCTTGACCAATTTAGCAGAAGTAACTTGCAGTTTACCTGCATGTTAGTAACGTGCCAAATGTGGAACTCGGAGTTGCTTTGGCCTTCAGCACACAGCTTTTATAAAGGACTGTCCCCATCACAGAGGATTCTAGCTAGGAGCATCCTGCCTCTTCAAAACTGATGAATTTTTGTGGGGGCTAAAGCACAGGTCAAATTCTGGCTTCTGTTCCCTGTTTTACAGTGACTCACTGGACCACATTGATGTAACCTACCTTATTTCCTTCAGTATAACATACTTCTAATTGACTTCTGCTATGGATAGCACAGGCTTGAGATTATAACATAAGCTTAGAACTTCGGTGTAATTTATATGGTGTTTTAACCTCTTTTCTTCTTTGCCTAGACTATTGCATACAGCATTCTATGGGACCTGAAATTCTTGATGAGGTATGCCTGCTTCTTAAAGTTTTAATCAAAGCAGAATGAACACTTCTGTCTGTTGCTGCTACTTGCTGACAGAGGAGGTGATCTTTGTACATAGTATTTCTAGAAAGAGTTTACAGATGATGCATTTATGTTAAACAATAAATGACAGCACTTAAGAAAAAAGTATCAGTTCTTTTTTTATCTGTGTTAAACCATAGACAGCAGGCTCAGTGCTGTAGAAGGGAAAGACTAATTCTAACTCACTTAGATCCAAGTGCTTCTGCTGCTAACCTCCTTGCTGAGAGCTCACAAACAACTGTCTGGACTGGAACAGTGAGCTGCTATTATTTCCTAAATGGCTAAAATAGCAACTGTGCTTATGCATGACTGAAGCCATTTTCCAAGAAAACTAAAGCATGTAGATGTTGAAGTGGTTTCTGAGATTTTAAATCTCTGACTAATTCTCGAAGTAGAAGACAGGGTTCTTAAAGATAAGCTTTGTTGTCAAATCCTGAGTGATGACTGGCTGTTACCTTTTCACCCCTCTCGTCTGGGGGGAGGGTGGGAGCAGCACAGGAGCTCTACTGTGGGTTTACTACAACCCTGTAAATGTGTAACTTCTCAGCAGTACTGCTGTTCTGTTTTCTCAAAGCAACCTCTGAACTACTTGGCCATATATGGCTAAACCTGAGGTACAGAATAACTTCAACACAACTAAATTCAGGCTGTAACAGATGCTAAGCAACTGTGCCTGAGCTGCGGGTGCTGGCCTTCTCTGGCAGGCTGTAGGTGTCTACGCAGGCTTGTGTAAATTATTGTTGTGTACAGTGCTGCTGTTGCAGCTGTGAAGTGTAACGCAGATGCACATCGCAAGGTGCAGAGTGGGTCACTCCTCCCTAGCGTGCAGATTCTTACTGAGTTGGAATTGTCAGACAGGACTTTAAATCCACATACCTATGCAAACCGTAACAAACTGATTTTATTTTTTTCTTCCTCCATTTCTATGTTTCTGTAGGAACCTTGCCCTTGGGGGAGGCTTGCTGCTGCTTTTGGCTGAGTCGCGCTCGGAGGGGAAGAGCATGTTTGCTGGTGTCCCAACCATGCGGGAAAGCTCTCCTAAGCAGTACATGCAGCTGGGGGGCCGTGTGCTGCTGGTCCTCATGTTCATGACACTGCTACATTTTGATATGAACTTCTTTTCAGTAAGTATCTGAGTATAAACGTGGAGTTAATGAGTTAAGGAACTAGAATCTAGTACCAACTCCCAAATTGGCTGCAGGACCTACTCAATGCTTATCATTTAAATCTGTTTTTTAGTAGAATTAATATTGAGAAAAGTTGATAAATCATCTGTGCCATGACAGTCTGTTCTGCTGAACTTGTCCATGCTCTGTTGTTTGTGTATCTCTTTAAGAACAATATGTAAGCTTGTGGGCTTTTTTTCTTTGCAGATTCTGCAGAACATTGTGGGCACAGCCCTGATTATCTTGGTGGCAATTGGCTTCAAGACTAAGCTGGCTGCCTTGACTCTAGTCATCTGGCTGTTTGGCATCAACATCTACTTCAATGCCTTCTGGACCGTCCCAGCCTACAAGCCCATGCATGACTTCCTCAAATACGATTTCTTCCAGACCATGTCTGTAATTGGAGGGCTCCTTCTCGTGGTTGCACTGGGCCCTGGTGGAGTCTCCATGGATGAGAAGAAAAAAGAGTGGTAACAGGAATAGCAACGCTTCTTGGGACATAACGTATTAAGTCCAGAACTGATTCTGTATGGATTCAACAAAAACTGCCAGCATTTTACACGTACATGCCCCCTTCCTATTAAAGGCACAGATGTTTCAAATTTGATTTACAGTGGCACCAGTGGTATAATAGATGAAACCCTATTTCTTCAAGGAAATGTTGCCTAGGTTTATGCTAACTTCCTAGATTTGGAACTAACCCAAGGAACCTGCATTTTGCTGACACTTCAGCGAGTTGCAGTAGAACAGTTGCTGTCTTTAATGTCAGCAGTGTTTTAAAATTTGAAGTACTGTGAGCAGATACAGCTCTATCATTCAGCGTGCTGTTGGATTCTAGCTATAACTAAAAAAGTGGATCCCCTTTCTCGCCTTCACCAAAACTGTCTTGTGCATAATGAGTTCCATTGCTGGTTATAGCATTGCTTCTCAAGGTGGAAAGCAGCATTAAAAAAAAAAAAACACTGTTACTTTGCTGCTCAGAGGCCTGTAACTCAATTTTTGTTTAACAAGAGGGGTGATCTTTCCTGCCCCCAAATAGAAGGCAAAAAGAAAACCCTGAAAGTAGTTGTACCCCTCTCTAGGTAAGAAAAGGGAGAGGGTTTTCTAACATGTCCCAGTTCTGCTCTTGAGGGGAACAAGGGAGAATCCTGTATGGCTGATTTGATTTCAAGAAGGAAGGAGGGGAGATACTCCTGCAGAGACAGAATGTTAGATTCTGTTAAAATTCTGTGCCAAAAGAACTATATTCAGCATTTGTTCCCCAAAGTTGCCCTTCCTGTATTCCCAAGAAGGGAGCCAAGTTGTGCTGCAGGTTCCGTGATAAAAGCTCCTTCCTACTATTAACCAGCTTCCATCCATATATGCCCCAAATTCATATCTGAATTGCAGGTTATTGGTGAAAGTGTCTTCAGAATCACAGAAACCCCCCTTTTTCCCTGCATTCGGTACATGCAAGATGAGAGCAGTCAGTCTTCTGATCTGTAGTCTTTGTTTTGTAGATTCACTTCTGTCAGTCTCTCAGCTGTGACAGTCCCACTGGTCTGAACAGCGGGAGAGCCGGGGTGCTGAACTCTTGGGTGCAGCCCCTTCTCTCTGCCATCTGGGCCCACATGAGAGGTGTGCAGGGAGAAGATGTGGCAGTCTGCTGTGTGCTGCCATAGTCCCGGTTCTCAGCTCTGTATGCAGCTACAGCTGAAGAATGCAAGTGCAAAGCCTGCACAGTGAAAAAGCAGCCAGGGATGTAATGTGCGCGTTCAGAGGGAGGAACTCCTCAGCATAATGGTGAGGAGGGAGGAAGGCCCTGTCTTCCCCTCTCAGTGCCACAACCTCTGTGCCATGAACATGCTCAGTGCTGCTCAGAGGAGGCGTTTTGTCCTCCACTAGTAAACCAGGCGAACCTGTTTCACTAGATCATGAAAGAATTCTAGAAAGCATGAGCCCTGCTGACTTGCTAACATCACATTGGTTCCTTGCACTGTTCTCTCCCTTAAGAAAGCTGCTCGAGGAGTAATTCTGCTGAATACCTCAGGCAGGAGCTGTTTACCAGGGTCTCCTGGTAAGGACACTAACCTGGACAGCTCAGCTGAACGGTTGCATTTTAGGAGAGAAAACGAAAGAACTGATGACAAATAGAAGAGCACTGTTGAATGTTAAACCAGCGATTTCATCATCTTAAGGGGAAAATAGCCTGTGTAATAGCAAGATGTGCTGCTGGAGAAAATGAGTTGGTATGTGGGGGTAGATGGGAGGGGGAGCCAGCATTTTAGTTCAGGTCACAAAGAAGGCTTTCTTTTTAAATAGGTTTTGCAAGAGAAGCTTTCACCTCAAGCGTTCACTGTGCCTGTCTCTTCACAGCAAAACAAACTGGTTCTTTCAGTTACGGATATGCAGCACAGGATGCTTTCGCTCGGTTTCACTGCAGGTCCTAGAATGGTTTTAGACTACATTGAGGGAGCCATTCTCAGTTATCTTAACTGCTGTTGATGTTCATAGTATTTATAAATGGAACAATAGAAACAGTTAGCCCTTAAGTTGGCTTTTTCAGCTTACATGTGTCCTGTCTGATGAGCTGGATGATGGACTAGTCTGAAATACTGACCGGTTTCCTCTGTGAAAATCAAGTCCCCTTTCCAACAAAAGACCCCAGAAAAGGAACTGATACTGTCCCTTGCAGCAGAAATATTTCTGTACTTAAGGGGCATGGTTAGGTGGAGGGCATTATCAGATATTTCTAGGCAACGCAATATGCAGACTTACTAACTGTGAGTCCTGATGCAGAAGATTGTGGTTTCCTGCACACTGCTGTATTCATGCATCTCCCCCAGATACAGTGACCTCTCTCTGGCTGAGAAGCTCTCACAACCAGGATGTCAGCTATCAATTGGCTCTGCAAAGTGTTCTGGAATTCATTCTGAGTATATTTTTGCTTTCTATGTGGAAAAAGAAATAAGTATAAATTCTCATTTTATGCTGTATTTTGTACCTTAGTTGTGTTTGAAAATGTTTTGATTTTTGGAAACAATCAAAATAAAACAATGGCATCTTTGTATCCACTTGGCGTGTGTGGCTGGTGACACTCCAGGGATAGGCTACCTGGAAATGCTGTCTCCCACCTGCTGAAAACCATCTTTCCATAAAGAGCTCTGAGCACTGGGCTGCAGTAGTCATCCTCCTTCCCTTGGTGGTGGGGGGTGGCTCGAGGCTGTTGGCATACAACTTAATTCCACCCCGCTATTCCGCTCCCCAGCTGTAACGGTTAACTGGAATAGCCAAATGCTACAGTCTTCTGCATCCTCTAGAACCATTAAACAGGCTTCAGGCCACATATTTATCATAAAATTTATTTGCCATTGGTCACTTTCTTGAAGTTCTTGGGTTTTCGATGATGACTCTTGAATTTCTTCTTTAAAGGGCCTGACTGTTGCTGTAGAGGAAAAAAAAAAAAAAAGTTAATCAGCTTATTTCCAAGACCCAAATCCAGCCCTGCTCAAGATAGCTTAAAGAAGAGAAACCAAGTGTGGTCTCCTTCACCAACCAGAGACAGAACGAGCGCAGCCCCGGTGACAGAGCCAGCCAGGATGTCTCCAGGCCCTATCCCACAAGTCAGCATCCCTTTCTCCGACAGGCATCTGGTTTCTCTGGGTACAAACAGTGATGGTCCCCTCACAGAAACAAGCCTAAACTTCATCCAGCCTTCACTTTCCAGTTTGATACAGTTAGAAAGGATGCAGCTCCTTCCTCAGGGGCTGCTTTGGAGAGTTAAAGGTTTCTCCATCTTTATGAATTGACATCTACCTGCTTCCCAGACTGAGAAGGATCAGTTGTATCCTGTAAGGCAGGACCCAGCCAGCTTCTCGAAAGAGGCAGAAAAAGGGTCTAGAAGAACCCTGTGACTTCAAAAGGGTTTAACTCGTGTATGCGTATGGGGAAGAAGATGACAGAACCCACAAGGCACGCTTCAGTCTCCCCTGTGAAGATGATGTGCCGCAGGATCCCACCAAAGATGAGCTGCTTCTACAGGCAGGAACATCCCAGTCAGCGCAGGCAGGATAAACACTTACTGGGAGTAATTCGCACCTCAGGATGCGAGTCAGTGGCTGGCACGTGGGGGACGTCTGTGCCCCTGAACAGCTTTGCACCTTCTGCTGGTTCCCAGACAGGAACCACATGAACACCTACAGGACGGGATCCCAGTTCCACGCTCCCCCACTGCTGCATGCGGCCCTGCGACTCCCACCTTTCCCCTTTTGTTGCCAACTGCTCTTCCACCGTCCTCTCCGTTCACGTCGCCATTCTGCTTGGCCCCGTCATCCTCACTGTCTGTTGCAAAGTCATCGCTGCCCTTTGTGGTTTGTGGAGCTGCTGGGCTTTTTTCTGGGAAGAGTGCAGCTAAAATAAAAAGATTTAGCTCAGGATCAGTTCCCTGTGCACACAGGCTCTGCCTCCCCCGAACTTTACTTCAAGGGCATCAAAGGCGGTTTGCCAAGCTGATTCCAGTCCCCAAGCATACACGTGTCACTACTGAAATACCTGGGAAATAAACACACTGGTGTTTTATTAGGAATGAGCCTGGTGCCCTGCCTGGGAACCGCTCAGCACCGGCGGGTCTGTGGCGTTACACCTCTGCTCGCCTATGGCAAGGCAGCGCGCCAGGCGTCAGAACGGCCTGACCAGCTGCTGTCAGACTCAAGGGCTTGCTGGGAAACGAGGAAAGCAGAGACACCTAAAGCAGCAAATCCCAGTGGATCTTGTATCCCTCCCCTCACTTCTGCAATCCAGCTCTGGTTATTACTTAGTGATAACTGCCATTTCTTATTTGGCGCTGGCAAGCTTTGCCAAAACCCAAGAACCCCAGCCTGGATGGAAGTCAGACGCCTCCGGCACACGAGCAGCGGGGATCAGTATAAACAAGCCAGGAGAAAATTAGCCAACAAACTCCCTTCAGGACACAGATGATACCAAAGCTCTGACTCACGTGGGTACAGGTCGCTCATGCTGTCATCCGTCTCCTCTCCGTCCTCATCGCTGGATTTTGGCTCCCAGAATTCCTCTTTTCTGTAAGGCTGCCTGCTCCCGTTCTTTTGGTCATCAGGGTGCTGCGTCCGCTGCTTCCTCTGTCGCAAGCAGGCAGGGACGTACTCCACTCCTTCCTTCTGGCACTCCTCATCTGACAGTGCAAGGGGGCGGGCAGCACTTAGCCAGGCCACCCAGTCACCCAGGTCCTTTTCATTTCCATATATAAGCTCTAGCTTATATTAAACACAACTCAAAAGCACATTGAGCTCCAGCTCTAAGATACATTCACATAATCTACAGCAATACTACAGACCATGAAAGATGGGAAAGATGTTAACACAGAGACTGTGCTGGACGCATGAACCACCCTCTCTGGGGAAGTTTTAGAACCTCTCCTCTCACGTAAGGATGTTGCGAGGTATTTGCTGGAGGCCTGTTGCTCCCTATACCTAGGATCTTCCTTCCTAGCTGGGAAGTGCACACAGCAACAGCACAACATTACTGTCAAGCTAAAGAAAATTTACTCCCTTCCTTCGTGTAGAGCTACTGGAATCTCAACAACCCAGGGAAAAAAGTTGTCTGGTTATATCTTCAGAAAAGCCACTTACATGTTTTTAGAGCCTTCTGGTAGCGCTTCCCTTGGACATGACGCAGCACGTGCTCTGGAAACTTGTTGATGTGTCTGAGAGTGAGCTTGCAAAACAGCTGGTGCCTGACAGACACAGAAAGAAAGAAAAAGCCAGCAACAGAGTTTAAGTATGCTATTACTTAAGAACTTTTCACTTAGAAGCACCATGCTCAAAGTTGATCAATACTTCATAAAGACTTTCCCAGTCTCCCAAAACCCATAAACACTCAAGAACTTTATAAAACTCAACCACTTTATGTCTGAGATCGAACAAAGTGTGAAGCATAACACACAAGAGGAGCAATACGTACAGGTTCTTTGTGCTGGGCACTATATGGGGCTCAAACTTGCCATAGTCGAACTCTCTGGCTGTCTTGTTCTGCCGCTGATACTTCTTGCCGTTCGTATACGCCTGCAGCTCCGGCAGCCGACATGGCATCTCGTGGCCTGTCAGCCTGCATCTCACCTGAGGAGAAACGACGCCAGGTCGGGGAAGCCCAGGGGAGCGTCCCAGAGCTGCGGAGGGCAGGGGAGACCCCAC